TATTGTTGATATATTCTGCTGTTTGGGGGAAGATAATACTTCCTTGGCCCACTATGTTTGGCACAACGAGATGTGGAATGCAAATTAAGAATAGTGGAATTGTGTGGTTAATATATTGAATTTGTAAAGTGGGAATGATTTTGAACCACACAAATAATGACCACATGTGGTATCAGACAAATGTTTTTGGAAGGAGCAAAATGGGACGGAGAGAGTATTTTAATTTGTAAACAGGATCTCTAAAACAATGGGTTTAACTTTTTGCCAGCATGGAGTATTATATGCAGAAGACATACTATAAGACTGCATCACTGATTTCAAATAGTTGTAAAGCTATTGCTCTTCTGGCTGGCCAAACTGCAAAAGTTTCTATGCTAGCATTTGAGTATGGAAAAAATCTGGTTTGTATACTAATGTCTCAACAAAGTTTTTTTCACAAATCGGGGGGAATAAATGGAATCATAAGTTCTGGTGCTATTATTTTTGTGCAGGGGCTGGCATTTCAATTGATAGATGATGTTTTAGATTTCACTGGCACATCATCTACTCTTGGGAAGGGAGCATTGTCAGATATTCGTCATGTAAATGTTTCCACTGTACTAAAAATATCTTTGATGTTCTGGACACTAAGGCTATATTTGTAACACTGAAAATGGTAGGTAAAGAAAAATAATGCCAATAAAAGTTGTTTATTATGTTTTGTTCTATATATTAGAAAAAATAAAATAAAAATGTTGATTAAAACTTCTTTAAAGTTTGCATATATTTTTATTTCATAGTCTTAACGTAACAGAAAAGATTAACGAAATGAGTTTCGTCAAATATCTAAAACTTATATATTAAATTTGAACCATTTGTAATGAGCTCCTTTTTTTTTATCTTGGGAGAACAAACTGCTTTCCTTCAAAATTTCCCTTCTGTTATCCTCAATATTTTCTCCCTAACATTTTATGCGCTCCATAAGTACCTTATAGTAGTAACCTTTTCGTGGGAGTTTAAGTGGTTGATGGATTGATATAATTAGAGTCTATAGTCCCCAAAAGCATTACTGCACAACAATTTCACTACAAACCATTAAGCCATGTTGCAAAATGCAAAAGAAATCCTATCATTTATTTTAATCCGAGCACTACTGGTGTGATAACGTTAACCTTCAGGTACCAATAAGGCAATAACACAGCATACGTCTTCATAAGAGCAATATTGCCTTATTGGTGTGATGATGTTAGCCTCCACAGTACTTGGAGTTCAAAGTTCACAATTTCACTTTACTTACTCCAGCAGTAGTACCCTTCATATCTGGTGGTTTAGAACAAAATTTTGTATTGCAGGGAATCATAACTGCTCCAATATTGTTTGCAATGGAGGAATACCCCCAGCTGCGATCCGTTGTTGACCGTGGGTTCGATGATCCTGAGAACGTCGATCTGGTAAGTTTTGGGCATAAGAGTGCTCTGTACATTAATGTTTGCATCTTGAACATCTTGACCCTTAAAATCCATTTGGAGAAATGAAAGCTGTAGGGAAAATAAATGAGTTAAATGGAGAGGAAAGGTGAAAGTAGATGAAAAGGAAATTAAAAATAAAAGAAGGGCAAAATGCATAAACAATACCTTAACTATTGGTATTGTTGCACTTTGGTACTTAACTATAAAATGAAACAAATCAGTACCACAACTATATGTAGAAATGTTTTAACCAACATTACTATTTAAATTTCTGACTGAACTTTTGTACAGTTTGTGCATTACGTTTATCCATGTCGTCAATGTACAGTGGACTTTACGCATAGATTTCTGGCTAGCACATATGATTTTTTCACCAGAAATTCGAAAAGTATTGTCCGTTGAAACATTTACATATAGTTATGGTACTAATTTGTTTCATTCAAGAGTTAAGGTACCCAATGTAACAATACCAATACTTATGATACTAATTTGATTCATTTAAGACTTTAAGAGTTAAGGTAACATTTATGCATTTTTATCCAATAAAAGAAATAATTGAAATCACCAACTCATTTTAGAAATATGAAACACTTCAATTGTTGTCATCTTATTTATTTTCATTTGAGTTTTCCAAGATCGGTCCAAAGATACCGGAGGTTAATCGGTTAATCCTCTATGTTGTGTGGCCTAGGATTTTGTACATCTTGAAATTAGGGTTAAAATGAGACCTTGTATAATGCTTCAGGTCTATACCAATAGACAAAAGTGCATATAGTCACAATACCATAAACTAAACTAGTTTTGGCAGATGTTATTTTGTTCCCCTATGGAAAATGTTCTACTTCTGGTTTGGCTTCCTATAAGGATATTTTCACATTTGTTCCCAGACATTCTTTATTTTCCAATAAATAGATTTCTTACCATTGTCGGTCTTACTGATCACTTACCGATGAAAAATTAATCTAGAATTGTATAAATCTTGGACGGGTAAGTGAGCGGAAGTACCAAAACTCATAATCGTGTACTAAAAGTGGAAAAGGGGAAGTCAGCGACTAAATGGGAAAATGACCTAATTCATGAAAACAAAAGTGAAATACTTTCTTCGCATATTTTAGGCTCAAGTTTCAAGCAAAATCACTCCTTGGCAAATTATCATCCTTTTGTTTGCATTGATGTTCTGTATAAACCACAACCTAAATATTGAAATTGTGTACAACTGAAACTTCATCATAGGCACTGGAGTACCTTGGAAAGAGTAATGGTATACAACGAACAAGAGAGCTAGCGAAAGAGCTTGCTAGCCGTGCCTCAGATGCTATTGACTCGCTTCCAGAGAGTGATGACGAAGACGTTCAAAGGTCAAGACGGGCTCTAGTAGAACTCACTCATAGAGTCATCACAAGAACTAAATAGACTGCAAGTGTAAAAAAAACAGATCAGTGGGTTTTTTTATTTCTCCTTCACTCCTTGTAATTCAGGGGGGAGTTTTATTCAGTTATTGTTTTATCAGTTTTGGCGTTTAATAATACTGTTTTCTTGAAGAAAAGCCCCGGTGCCGTGATGGCAAAGTCATGTAAATTAGATGTTGCCAAAGAGAAAATAGTTTGTTTATTTGGTCTATTTTAACAACTATACACTGGATATGCGTTTGATTGATATAAAGTTATAAACAATGAAAGGTTATTTGAGCTCATTTATAAACAATATTTGTAGTGCGATGAAATATTTACCCTAACGGTAATACAAGTACGATTCAAACCCACACACACAAATATAGACGTGAGCAACTGCAAAATAACAATAATGTAAAAATGTAAAATGAGAAAAGATATGAATAGTAAGTATTTACTACGGAGTATTTATTGCCCAAAACACAATTGTGATAAGTTGTCACTATTAGGGGTGGACTGGTTCCGGGCCAACCGGACTGGGCCCGGCCCGGCCTGGTACTGTTTGTACCCGGCTTGGCCCGGGAAACCGGTTCCGCTTCCGGGCCTAAGCCCGGCCCGAGGGGGTAACCAGTTCCGGGTCCTGAAAAAGGCGAACCGGCCGGGCCCGGTTCGGGCCTCTTTTTTGGGTTTTTTGGGTTTGGGCTGGGTTTAGGTGGGCTGGGTTGGGTGTTTCCGAGGGGTTTGGGGGGATGGGGGGTTCAAATAAATAAGAAAACAAAAACAAATTGAACCGGAACCGGCTCGGCCCGGAACCGGTAGACTCCCGGGTCGGTTCCGGGCCTTACCCAAAACCATCCAGGCCTGGCCGGGCCTAGGCCCAAACCAGAACCGGACCGGGCCCGGTCCACCCCTACTCAGTATACTGAGTGTGGAAGTGTAAGGCTGTAGAGTATGTTGACCAGATAAGTGAATTGATGTTTTACATTATTTAGTTCATTTTTGGGAAAAGGGACAAATAAGGCCATGTACTAACCAAAAAAGGTCAAATAAGGCCTTATTTAGGAGGCTCTATACGGTCTTCGCCATTTGGGGTGGTTCCCGGTAGAATTTTTTGATGAAATTTTTTTAGCATCTTATTCAGTAAGTCTAGTTTACTCATACCAAATTTCAGCTAAAACTTCAATCGGGAAGGCATTCAAATGAATTCTTGAAGATAACTGCGCAGTTAAAAACTCAGTTATCTTCAAGAATTCATTTGAATGTCTTCCCGATTGAAGTTTTAGCTGAAATTTGGTATGAGTAAACTAGACTTACTGAATAAGATGCTAAAAATATTTCATCAAAAAATTCCACCGGGAACTACCCCAAATGGCGACGACCGGACATAACCTCTTAAATAAGGCTTTATTTGACCTTTTTTTGTTAGTACGTGGCCTTATTTGCACCTTTTCTCTTCATTTTTTGAATAAATTCTTTACTTTCAATATATGGAAAGTATAAGCTCTACCAGTCTACCTTCTCATCAAGTACTTGTGCAACCACACCAAACCATTTTATAATACTTTTCTTTCGAATAATAACATTTTAATACTTTTCTTTCGAATAATAACATTTACACAGAATCCGATCACAAACATTGTATGTTTGTTGTTCTTTCTTTTTACTTGTTGTTACATACTACCTCCATCCCATTAGAAGGTTCTCGTCCACTATTCACATTGTCAACTTAAAATATTTTTAATGTCCACGGAACAATGTCAAAACTGTAGAATTTACCTTCTAATAAAGTTATTTCCTTAATATGTGTGAAATCCAAAGTGAGAAGTTAATTTGGGAAAGGAGGGAGTAATAAATTTTCGTACAACTTGCACAAAACTAAAATACATTTTATAGTATGGGAGGACTAGAAGATGGAATACTACCTCCGTTCCTAAAAATTCTTCCCGGTTTGAATTGGCACGCTTATTAAGAAAGTGGAATAAAGTGGAAATGTGTGGTTGTGTAAGAAAAAGGTAAAATGAATGTGAGCCACACAAATTATCCAAAAAAGGAAAGTGGGAAGAATTTTTGGGAACGGCCCAAAAGGAAAGTGAGAAGTATTTTTAGGAACGGAGGGAGTATTAGATTTGAAGTCAGGGTCAATATGCTTTGTCGAACGTAAAGCGCCTTTAACACCAGGAAGGAAAGCACGTATGTCCAAAAGATGAAGTGAACGCCTAAATTTTGTTCATTTTCCACCTTTCGGTAAAGCAACAAAGAAAATGGAAAAGTGTCTCATAAAGGGACCCGCTTTGGAATTTGGAAGGGACAACAGTCAACAGTCATCTCCGTACCGTTTTTTTATTTCTTTCGCGGGGAAGCAATTCGGAAATCAAGCATTTAGCGAATAACTCTTCACGGCTCTGCTCAATATGGCTACCACCGTCGGCAATGCCGGAGAGAATGGAATTCCGGAGCCGCAATCAGCTCTGATCTTCCTCGGCACCGGCTGTTCTAGCGCCGTTCCTAACGCTCTCTGCTTGATCCAGCCCTCTGATCCTCCTTGCCATGTCTGCTCCCAATCACTCACCATTCCACCTGAACAGAACCCTAATTATAGGTGATTTCTTCAACCCGTTGTAACTCTACTTGTGAATTCAAGCTCATAGATCCGATAATGTATGTAGTCTTTTATATTTTTATTAATACTGTAAGGTATATGATTATTTGTAAGACGTTTCCGTTATTTGGTGGCAGCTAATCGGTTATGGTTTGTTTAACTTGCAGATGCAATACATCACTTTTGATTGATTATTCTCCAGGAAATGGTGAGCACAAGTATATACTTATTGATGTTGGGAAGACTTTCAGAGAGCAAGTGCTTCGCTGGTTCACTCTCTATAGGATTCCGCGGGTTGATTCTGTGAGTTCTCTTGTTTATTTCTCATTTTCTTTTGTTTTTGTTATTTTCCGTCTTCAGCCTCCTTTGCTATGGTTTCGATTCACTAGCTTTCATTGATAAATGAAATGTACTGTACCAATTTCTTTTAAATAGTGAAGTGGGGCAAAAGAATGAAGGAAATCTATAGTGTCATTTTGGAAAGAAGAAATTAATTTATACATTAAGTCACTAACTATGAAAAACTTAGATTATTTGTTTGAGATAGTATCCTATGTACTTTGAGAACCTGAGCATGCAAAACTGAGTCTTCCCTATGTATGTGGACCTGAGCCATAAGTTGCCACAGAGGAATTGGGTATCAAACAACTAGAACCGGCAAAAGTCAGCACAAAACAATTATGTGGAATTGCGGGTGATCTGCCCAGGAGAAAACAGAGGACGAGAAGAGTTGTCAGGTAATTGGAGAAGTCGGCGTCCATGTGAAAATCAGTATCGGTTCCGACCCAATTCAACTTGTGCTTCGAGCCGAGAATAGGGAGATAGGGGCTGCCTGTGCGTGGTGTGTGCATTGGCAGAGAGGTTGATGGATGAAGCAATAATAGCAGTGTACAGCAATGCGTGAGAGGAACCAATTTGAGACATGATACATGTTGAGGATCAGGAAAGGAAAGGTCAAAAGAACCTAGGCTCTTATATTATGTGTAAAACAATAACTAAGATGTCCCAGACGGATAGTCCAGATAATATATACAAAAAGAGTTTTCTGTTTCAAAAATACCCTTTGGGCATTCACTGTTTTTTTTAATGAAGGGCATTCACTATTGGATAATGGATATCAATATACTCAGTATTAGTAGCTGACAGTGCAAGCAGTTGGTATACCTTTGACAGTTTGACCTTCAAATATATTCACTCGAGTATTAAAGTTTCAGCCTCTCTTTTATGTTTAGTTTTTGAGGCTTCAGGAAATTGATTAATCTTTCAGCTTCTTGCACATTTACCATATCCTTAGAGAATGCATTCTTACTAAGATGAACAGTGTTTGTAATTTAGACTTGAACTTTGATAAGTGATGAGGGGATGGCTTGCCAATTAATAGAACCATTACTCCCATATTTTGTTGAACCTAAAAGAAATACAAATCAATTTCATTTTCCCTCCATCCCACGGTTTCGGTCTTTTTTACATGAAATAAGAGAAGGTAGTTAATGTAGTACAAATTATTATGTTTGCATCAATGCCATGTTCAATTTAGAAATTGGTCTATTTAGGAAGTATTTATAGTGCTAAATTTTGTGAATCCTTTGACAGTAGGAATCAAAATGCAACTAGCTGAGTAGCTGACAACTCTTCTATTTCCAGATTATTTTGACTCACGAGCATGCTGATGCAGTTCTTGGTTTGGATGATATACGTGCTGTTCAACCATTTAGTCCAACAAATGACATTAATCCTACACCAGTTTATCTCAATCAATACGCGATGGATAGGTACACTCCTAAACCATGGCGCATTAAGTTTTGACATTGTTGTGATATAAGGTATTTTTGGGTTTGGTTGACTGGAACCAACCATTCTCATTCTTTCCCCTAGACGCCTCCATGACTCCACTGCACCTGCATGTACTGACATCCTAGGTGCCAACTACGCGGGCATAGGCTAATAGGCAGTATAACCTAAAAAAGCGGTTGACCCTTGCTATTTTTTGTAACAAATATCAATTTGAATAATAACTACTATATTTAATTATTCAAGAGGATAATTATTATGATATCAAGAAAGAAAACACTAGGCTCTCTCTCTCTCTCTGATAAAAAAGGCTCTCTTTTGTTAAATTTATTTGAGATGCAGACCACGGACCAGTCTAGAGTAATATAATAACTTTTGCGTTTGGTCAGTAATTTTTCATTTAAACTAGTTTAGTCTGTTCTCATATGAATTAGTATGGTCTGTTTTTCTTGAAGTCTCAGTCTTGTATTGTTGGCTTGTCGCATTTTTTTATCTGGATTGATTTGGTTTAATATAGTCTAATATGCTTTTGTTTGATAATGTGTGTATGTTATCACTGTGAAATACAAGTCTAATACGGGGGGTTTAGTCGATCTGATTTATCCTAAGCCGGACCCATATGATATGATCTAATTTGGTTGGGCACAATATGGTTTGATGTAATTCTTTCTTTTTTGACAGATAATGGCTTGATAAGTTATTATATAAATTCTATTATTCTGAAAAGTATATTTACTAATAAATATGTTGCTATACCCCATAATAATTATACATTTATTAAATTACAAAAAAATATTTTTTGAAAATTAATTTTTACAACATAATTTCGATTGTCTTTTATAGCCTAAAAATTATAAAGCTATCATTAATATTTATACATTCTTTTAATTTGTGATCCTTTAAATAGAAATTTGTAAGAAGTTTGATAATTTGGTTTTTGATATCTATGATATGGAAATATATCATATTATTTGTAAAATATATCTAGTTTGTTTTACATAATACGTTATAGATTCATTCTGTTTAGATCAAAATAGAGCGGTCCAAACCGGACCAGATAAATCCAAATCAATTTGAGTTCAACCAAACAGAGCCTGAAACACTAACAATTTTTCTGTTAAATTTTTAACGGTGATTGGAATTCCTAGATGCTAGAGTCGGCGCTAGCTATAGACTATAGTAGAGGACTGGAGGTGATGATAAATCGGTGCTCTCTTTACCTTGCCTCTCACGCTGGATGCTTGAACTCCTGAAGATTAGCCTCAATTACTGAGATAATGAGACAAATTATCTAGCTAAGATAGAGTAAAGTACCGCCATCTATGAATTAAACTGTCATAATAAACATGAAAATATAGTTTCAGTATTATTTACTCCTATATATGGAAACACATTTTATTCTTATTTAGAAAATCAACTTGTTTTTACTTCTACTTGGGCATTTTTTTAAGAAATACTTTCATGATCTAGATACATTTTGAGCGTACTTATAAATGTTGTAGTGCATAATAAAAAGACATTCTTATTTCCCTTGAAGCGATATTATGGCTAGACTAGCCTCTTGTTGCATAATGTATTAATGTTTCTTATGTTTCACTGTTTCACTGTTTCACTTTCAATTTGGAATCTTTTCTTGAGTCTTAATTCTTATACTTTTTTCTTAACAGTCTTGCAGTGAAGTTCCCATACTTGGCTCAAAAGAAACTCAAGGATGGTCAAGTAGTTAGGCGTGTAGCACAACTTGATTGGAGGATAATTGAAAACGACCCCAAGAAGCCTTTTGTTGCATCAGGACTAGATTTTATTCCGCTTCCAGTTAGTGTTCTCCTTTAAATCTTGACCACATTGCCATTTTTTCTTGTTTTGCGTGTAATGCTTATTTTTTAATCTAGGTGATGCATGGGGAAGACTATGTATGCTTGGGCTTTCTTTTTGGTGAAAAAAGTAGAGTTGCATATATATCTGATGTCTCGCGCTTTCTTCCAAGTACAGAGTCTTGTGAGTTGTAACTTTTCACACTTGGCTCTTGCTTTTCAGTAGACATTTATCGTTGAATAAAACTTTATGTCATCATTAGGATTTAGGACCTTAGTTTGTACAATGTTGAGTTTGCTCACATAAAATGCTGATATAAAAATTAGTCCGCACCACAAACACTTTCAAAAAACGTAGCAGCAGTAACGCCAGATGCATTATTGACACAACTTTATTACGAAAGCACACTGGATGCAAGAGGTTGAATGTTGGTATATCCTTTTACAGATATCTCAAGAGATAGTGGTCAACAATTGGATCTACTTATCTTGGATAATCTTTACAAGGTAAGTTTGTAGCCATATTTTGACTACAAAATGACTTTTTGCATTTGTCCTTGTTTTATTGCTGTTTCTTTGCACTGTTCCTATTCCTCTTTCAATTTAATTGCTGGGTTATATCTTCAATATCTGCAGAAGGGTTACCACAATGTTCACTTGTGCTTTCCTCAGGTTCACATATTTCCTACATCCCTTTGCGCTGTATTTTTAATGCTTTAGAATACTCTAAATGCTGACATTTTAATTGGTGCAAAATTTTCTCTTTCAGACCCTGGAGACTATTAAAAGACTCTGTCCTAAGAGGGCTTTGTTAATTGGGATGACACATGAGTTTGATCACCATGAGGACAACGCTTTCCTAATGGAATGGTCTAAAAGGTAAAATTTCTTCAAAATTTCTGAATTTCTTTTCATAGTAAGGGTTCGAGTCTCTTTCTCTCGCTCACTCTTTTACTCAGGTACACACACCTGGGAAATGCAAGGAAATGAAAATCAATAGAAATGTAAAAGGGAAATTTGGATGGAAAAAATGTGAGGGAAAGGAAAACATTGCGGATTCACACACACCCTTAAGGACCATTAAGTTGAAACTTTGTCAGTTTATTCTGTGATTTTTTTTCAGGGAAGGAATACCAGTTCAGTTGGCATATGATGGGTTGAGGCTTCCAATAGAACTATAGAGAGCCACTCTGTATCAAAGTGAGCCTCTATTCCGTAAATATCTCATTTTTATATTAGCACTTTCATCTGCTTATACCTAGAAATAATTGGTAAATCTATTCCAGCATAAGCTTTAGGTGACTTTGATTAATGTATGTTAAACGTACTTTCAAACAACAATATTTTCTTTTAAATCACATTGGCACACACAAGGAGATCTTCGGTAGAGGTTGGTTAGGCTTCATTTTTTAACAAATAACATTGTGGTTGCTTATTTAGTTATTATGGCTTCATTTTTTAACAAATAACATTGTGGTTGCTTATTTAGTTATTATATTCATTGTATCTCCTGCGTTTTTAGTGAGGTAGTCCCTCCATCAAGTTTCAAGAATTTTTTTTTGTGCCCAAGAGTTCCGTTTTAAAAATCAACTTTCATTTTTCTTCAAATTTTCTAAAGAGCAGTTCTAAAAATCAACTTTTCATCTCATAACTTGTAAAAGCTTGTACCTTGATTGAGTCGACTTAAAATACTCCCTCCGTCTCATTTAAAGGTTTCTACTCGGTTTATGATGTTTGACTGGCCATAAAGGTAACCGATCCCTGTCATTAATAAGATTATTTTTAATAAATAAAATTTACATATTCAGAAACTACATTAAAAGTTCTATAATGCCTGGACAAGAAAAATTAAATTTGATAAAAGTTGGATATATAAAGTAAAAGATTAAGAACAATTCAATTGGAGAATAGTGGACGAGAACCTTTCAATGGGACGGAGGGAGTAATAGTTTGTACCTTACTCAAAACAGTGAAAGAGTAGACTCGATTTCACGCAACTACGCAAGTTGAGATCGGCAAGAGGCAAACCGACGTCAAGATGATCCCAAGTTCTTTCTATGGGGATGGAAGGAGTAACACATAAATGGTATACAAAGGAGAGAAATAGTTAGTATACCACAGACATATTTGGGTTTGTATATTAAGACAAATTTTATTATCAATTGATTTCTTTCAAGTTAAGCTAAAATCCCATGCTAGATTGAAGCTACTAATCAGCTAATCTCATTAATAAGATCATATTTGCTTTTATCCCGTGGCTAATGGGGGCAGGAATATGATGGGTGTAGATTAGCACAGTTAGCAAACCAAGCTGATTTAACAAATGCATCTAGCAGCTTTTTCGACAAGCCCCAATGGCTACGGCAGTTTTTAGCCTACACACCGATCATGTGTGCATTCTATCATGGCTGCGGAGTTTTTTCTTTTCATTAGAAAATCTATTTTGTGACAGTCTGATTCAATTGGTCCGTAATAGTATTACTCAATTCTTTCTAATTAAAATCTGAAAAATATGTATTAAAATATTGCAAATATCAGTCACAACTGCATCACTGAACATTTTCTGGAATTTCATGATTTTTATCTAATAAATTATAATCTCAGTCCTGCCAAACGGACCAATAATCAGCGGGTTAGTTCTTGAGTTAAATGTCAATTACTTATACAAAATTATTGGAAGTAGGGTTGCACAAGAATAACTGGCATAACTTATCCGACCCAATCCTATTCAGTCATTTTTAATCTTGTATTTGACTAATAAAAATATTCAAGGGTTGAATATGTATGAACCTGCACATAATAGGTTGAGTTCCGGAATTAAAATCTCAAACACGGTCTGTTTGGAAGGGTGGAATGTTTTCATCATGTTAAAATTATTCATTAGCATGTATTCATTCATCACCCATCTTTTGTAGGAAAAGTATGGTATCTGATTACTAATAAAAAGAAAATTACGTATTGTCTAGTGATATTCAAGGTTTCACAAGGTCAATTTGGTTAAATTCTACTTCGTACTAGACGTCTAGACATTTACCATGTATACAAAAAAAAATAGGGTCTCATTTGATAACCCTTTTTCACCTCAACATCCTAATCAACAATTTTTTAATTAAGCATTGATCTTTTTATCCCACGCGTTAAATTACATAATAATGAAAATAAGGCCAATGTTATTGAATTGGCCGGATTTCTTGAAAACAAGAACTTCAACTTTCTCCCCATGATTTTATTAATAAATTATATTGAATATAAATTTTCATTCAGCAGATTCAAGCAATTACATTGTTACCAAATGGACTTGAAATATTACAGAAAGATCTCTAATATTGTGTCCCCTTTTAAAGTTTCGTGCAGATCTACCATAAACCATGAAGTTAAGCTCGCCCATTCTTATCCCTTTTTCTCATGAAAAACCATGAAGTTTGGGGGGCTTGCCCATTGTTGAACGAGCAAGGTTTCTCAGTCTAAGAGTACATATGTCTTAAGTCTTAACTGCTACTACTTACTAGTTACTACTATACACAGTAATATCTACTTCTTGAATTCACCAACCATAAAGTATTGTTTTCTCTACAATACATTATACATTTATACCCGGATAGATCCCTGCTTTTCTGATGTGTTGATGTATAATAAATTGAAATATACCTTTTTGCCATATGCTCGTTCTCTCCCTTTTTGTGAACCCTGTTGTGACCATTAAATGCCCATCCTCACTACTTTTTATAGCTTTCAAAGCTATAATCCCAGTTTTTTAATGGAGGATTGGGGGCCTTCGGTAAATATGACCAGAACTGCTTCGAACTCAAAACCTTTCATATGAATGCAATAAGTGAGCTGAAAAAGAATGATGTGTTTAAAATCAAATATCTCTCATATCCCTGAATGATATGCAACTCCAAACATAGGGCCTGTTTGGTACGATGTAAAGTAAACACTTTGCATGCGAAGTGTGGGGAACTAAGCATTTTACATCGATTGTTTTAATTATTTGATGTAAATTGTACGACAATTTTTTTTAAAATATTTTACACTGTACCATGTAAAATATTTTACCTAGGGGGAGGGTAGTAAACTGCTTTACACTCGCGGATGCGGATGATAATACTTCGTATATCAGACTCCACCTTTAACCAAGCCCCACTTTCTACAATCTTCTTCTTCATTACCCCAGTGCCGCAAATCCCACCTATGGTGGAGTAAGGGGGTCGGATGTACGCAGTATTACCTCTATATTAAAGCACAGAGAGACTATTTCCGGATAACCCATAATGAAATTTGCGTCGAAAAATGCATGGACTGACTACAACTTCATAACAAAGAAATATTTCATCATATTTAGTGAGTCATTTTGCTTTATTCCATCATATTCCCCACTTTCTACAATCGGTAGCAAAAAAATATCAGCGGCACATTCTTAACCAGATCAATTCTCTCATTTATAGCCTTATAGGTAATCGTATGTATGCTAGTGGTGGACTCGGTCCGGTTTGGGCCCGGCCCAGGACTAGGCCCGACCGGGCCGCCGGTTAGGAAATGTTGGGCCCGGGACCGGACCGGGTAGCCATCGGGTCCGGGCCAGGCCGGACCTCGGGCCTCTTACAAAATTTTTTCCCTTTTTCTAATTACCCCCCAAACCACCACAAATTGCCCAAAATACCCAGCCCAACTCGGGGATTTAAAATAATAATAATGATGATGATGATGATGATGACGATGATGATGATGATGATGATGATACTAATACTAATAATAATAATAATAATAATAATAATAATAATAATAATAATAATAATAATAATAATAATAATAATAATAAGCCCGGGCCCGGACCGGCCGGGCCGGTTCATGTTTTGGGTGACCGAAGCATGGACCGGAAACCCCTTCGGTCGGGCCTACCCGGACTGGTCACTCGTCGGGCTACCGGTTCGGGCCGGGCCAGAACAGTACCGGTTCCGGGTCGGGCCACCCGGCCCGAGTCCACCACTAATGTAAAATAGGAATTGGGGAGTTACCATAGTGAAGCCAAGGATTGCCACGTTTCATATAGGGGTGGACTGAACCGGACCGGTTCGGGCCTGGGCCCGGCCGGGCCTCGGTTCGGAATATTGAGGCCCGAGCCCGAACCGGGGGTGGCCGGTTCCGGGCTGGTTCCGGGCCAGACCGGGCCGGTTCCGGGCCGGGCCACCCGCCCTATTTTGTTTTTTTTTGGCTTCTTTATTTAATCCCCTACCCCTCTTTCTCAACCCCAAACCACCCCAAACCACCTCAAATGGACCAAAATACCTAATCTAACCCAAAACATAAAAAAAATTCAAAAAAAAATAAAAAAAAAATATTTCCGGCCCGAACCGGCCGGGCCGGTTCACCATATGGAAGGCCCGGGCCCGGAACCGGGAACCACCGGGCCGGTTCGACCCGAACCGCCAGTGGACCGGGCCACCGGGCCGGGCCGGTTGCTACAGTGGCCGGGCCGGGCCGGTTCCGGGTCGGGCCGCCCGGCCCGAGTCCAGGCCTAGTTTCATACATGTCATTTTAGGAATGTGTTGGAAGAGGACTGCTCAGGTCCCTCCGGAGGGACGGGAGGCACCGTCCGAACTTTACTGTTTGGGGCGGTTCCCGGTGGAATTGTTTGATGAATTTTTTTGAGCATGTTCCTCATCAAGTCTAGTTTGTCCATACCAAATTTCAGCTCAAAATTCGACCGGGAAGTCAGTCAAATAAATTCTTGAAACTTACTGCACTTTATATATGCGCAGAATGTGCAGTAAGCTTCAAGAATTTATTTGACTGCCTTCCCGGTCGAATTTTGAGCTGAAATTTGGTATGGACAAACTAGACTTGATGAGGAACATGCTCAAAAAAATTCATCAAACAATTCCACCGGGAACCGCCCCAAACAGTAAAGTTCGGACGGTCCCTCCCGTCCCTCCGCTCCGGAGGGACCTGATCTTTTCTATATGTTGGAAGTCTAGGCTTTTGTGGCTGTTTTCAAGATTGATTTCAGCAAAATATGCTCTGTTAGTAGATTAGAATGGATGGAATGACAATGAAAATGTTTGATATAGTCGATGATTGATGCTCCCCTACGTGTGAATTTGTTATTTGAGTAAAACAATACATTTATTTTGCATGCATTTTTAAAATGGATCTCATACCTTTCCAAACAATGTATTTTAATTTTACATGTAAAATGATTGCATCCCTATAGTTTACACACAATCATTTTAATAGGTGGGTCTTGGGGGCCAACCTAGGCCATGACTCGCCCCGAATTTGAAAAATGCTTTACTTTTTAAGGAAAAAATTATGTGTAAAAGTTTTTAGAAAAGACACCCTTTGTACTTGCCCAGTGCGACCTAGTGCTCTGTTTCTGCCCCTTACTCCAAATGTTCCTTTACAATTTGAGGGCACGACGACTGCATGACTACACAATGATGATTAGTTCAATCGTATTTACAATTTTGCTTATTTATGCACTTTTATAATTTTTTGTTCGTTCGTTTTAAATCTTTTGGAGAAATCGTACATTTTCATACTAGGACACCAGGTTAACATAATAAAAAAAACTTTCATTTGCTTGTTACTGGTTACCGACTGTTGCGGCTCATTTGTCTAAGTCTAAGTCTAAGTCTAGTCATTGAACTTTTAATTTGGACTGAAATTATCTTGAATCTGTTATGATGTTAAATTTTAACCAGAAGGATTGGAATTTTTAGGTTGTACATTTCGTCTTTTGCGATAACTCAACTCATATTTCATTATGATTATACGTATATATATTTCATATTCTTGGGTATTTCTTTATTCGCTGGATATGAACTAAAAATGATCGACTTCATAATGATACAATTTTTAACAATATTCTAATACTTATCTTCATAATACTGCCACACAAAGCATATCAATTATTATCAAGTGCATTCAGGCATTCAGCATTGCTATCATTTTCTGGTGAGTGGTGAACAAAGTTCAGTACTCCGTATATGATAATACGTAATAATACTCTTAAATAGAGGATACTCACGCTTTTTATAAGAAAAAAATCATACTACGTAATTACGTATATGGCTATATATTGCATAGGTCACTAAGTTGTATCAAATTGCCTCCATGCAGCAAAGAGAAGCAACGTGAAGGTTTTTCTACGTCAATTTCGCTAAACTAAGTACTCCACAGAATTCGATTGTCAAAAACAAGTTATTCGTTACAATAACAATAGCATCCATGTCTTACTGGCAAAAGACTTTGGGTCGAATCGATCCATGAACAACAAAAATAAATTGTTGATTATTCAAACCCATTATAATTGTGTTTGTCTGTTTGGTAACTCATATATTTGACTTATCGCTAAACACACGTAACTTTTGATTTATAATATTGAATTGTGTTGAACTATATTTCTGATTGAATTGGGTCAAATCGTTGAAGATGGCAATTCATCAATTTAGCGATTGTGTTGTAGATCCTTTTTAGTACAGACTATTTTTTACTAATAAAATACATTTTAAATATGGTGTTTTGGCAATTAAGCAGATTCAATCAATTCAGTCCCTTCAGCTAGAATTCTATCCATTTTAGCGAAAACAGCTAATTTAATTTCAATCTTACCGAACGAGCCCCTATAGTATAATACTATAATGTGTTGTCCAACTATTATACTTTCAAAAAGGAAACTATTATACTTCGTATATAGTTTCATAAAATGATACTCTCTTCATTCCAAACTGATTCGTAAACACAATTTTATATCAACAATGCTTGATGTACCCACTTTTATACCCACCATATACCCACCATGTTTGTGGAGGTTTTTTTTGTCTGTGAACCCGGGTTCACAGACAATATTTTGTCTATGCAAAATATTATCTGTGAGCCGGGTTTCACAGACAAAAAAAGACATTTCACAAACATAGGTGTGTACAAAAGTGGGTATAAGAGTGGGTACAAAATCATTTTTGATTTTATATTATCTACTTATTTAACTTATCAATTTTTTATATTATAATTTGGACTATGCAAGTGAAACACATTATCTTAATTCCACGTCAAAGTCAACGTGTAGGGCGGGTGTGCTATTGGCCAGGACGAGAAATGAACATGGCGATCGATCCAGAAACATCTAACTCGTCACGTGTCTGGACTCCAACTTTGAATGGAAAAGCAACTTCAAACATTCGCCGGAATTGATCAGATCAATTGGTCAAACATATAATCAAAATTGAGTAATATATATTACTACGTAATAAGAACAGCCTTTTGATATGTGATTAAATTCCTCAATAGTACTGTGAAGGACTGGTATTTAATTTGGACAAACTAATATAGATAGATCATTACAAGAGTTGAAGATCGAAGAAAACGAAGGGAAATGGGGGGAGAGAGTGCGGCATGCTTTGTACCATTCAATGATAGGAACTTGGATCTGAGCTTCTTCATATTGAGGCCAACCATAGTAATGGTGGATCATCTCCTCGCCGCTCTCAAACAATTCTCCTCCTCCGCTCACTCTCTTGGTTGCATTCACAGCTCTGTTTTTAAGAGCATCCATGGCAGTCTGGTACCACTCTACACCACCTAGTAGGACCTATCTTATGTATTTGTACATTTGTTATATTTTAGCCCCTTCTCATCTTCTCTTTATGACGCCCCCTTAAATCGGGGCGTAGCTCACCTGGTATGAAAATGGTGTCACAAGAGAGAGGTCCCGAGTTCAACTCCAAGCTAAGACTTAGAATAAAGTTTCACTCTTTCAATCAAGTGTGATCAAAACTCAACTTACACGGGGGCGGAGCCAAAGCACTGGACCGGGCTAGGCCGGTACAAAGAATATTTTTAGAAAAAAATTTACACGAAATTTTTTACCTTAAAAATTAAGCCATTTTTAAAATTTGGGGTGGGCAATGGCATAGGTTGGCCCACCCTTAGCTCCGCCCATGCAGTTACACCATACTAGATAACTTGTTTTTCATCATGCATTCACCCCCTTTAATATACTACTACTTTCTTACTTCTTACTAAGACTTGAATTGCAATGACATTCAATTGATAGGAGGGGCAGTTTTCAAAGTTTTATGTTAGATTTGTATGCTTATACGCAACCGTGTGAGACAAGTTAATGCTCTCCCCGTCCCATAAAACTTAGCAATTTGAATTTTCTGATTCAATGATAATAAAGTTTGAACTATGAATTTAGTTATTATATTTGTGTGAAACTTATAGTTTTTATAGTTTTATCAAAGTACATATAACAAAGAACATTTTCATTTAATTTTCATATTTTAAATAGTTTCATATTATTAAAAAGTCATTAGTCAAACTTGATCGTCATTGATCAAGAAAAGTCAATACATGTTGGGGGTGACATGTAAAATATCTAATACTCCGTACCACACATATGAAATTGATTCTTTTTGTTGCTGTAAAATTTGATAACCGAATTATTATCTAAAATAATTACGCCACAAACATATGAGATTCATAACTTCGTACCACATTTGTTTTTTATTTGTTGCAATAGTTTGATTTTTGTATTCAATCATGTCTTTAATCCTTACCAAGTACTCCGTATAATGTACTACGGATATCATTGTGAAAGACCTCAACGACTCAACATGATGTTCTCTTGATACACAACTCTAACGGCTTCTAATGAAAAAGTGTTTTTGATTAGTCTTTAAAATAGAGTGGAGAATTGAGATGTTTTTACTTGAATTAATTTCACTCTCATATTAGATCATATCAAAAAATTCTAATCCAATTAAAAAACATTGTCGTTTGCTTGTTGGATTTAATGATCCATTTTATTTGTCCTTATTTGTGTAGATTGTATGGTATGGAGCATGGGTAAAGAGACCGTATAACAATGGTAGAGAATTACTAAATGCTTCTCTTGTAAGTTTGTCCTCTCATCTATTCACATTTGATCCTTATGTATGATTTGAAAACCTCACTTATGATAAGTTTTTATTTTTATTTTATGACATGTAAATAGTATTATATATGTTCCAATGAAAATTGCACATTTTGAATTAGGTTAGAATTAAAGAAAAAGTAAAATTGTATGGTTGTGATTTGTGTAAAGGAAAGAGAAATGAGCAGAATAAAAAATTAATTACTTCAATGGAAAAATGACAAATTTTTTTTATACAGTCAAAAATGAAAAGTTTACAAAGTCCAGTAGAAGGGGAGAGTACTAAAACATCCAAAAATAAATTTACAATGTGAACAAAATAATCACTAAAAGTGACTAAGCTAATAACTAGGCTAAATTAATTAGACCCAACTATATAGTTCTCATAACAAAATCTAACAATTAGCATGGGACCGGCCATGGCCCGATATTCCACAATCTATCGCCCCAATCCAAAAATAGTACTCCCTCCATCCTAAATCTACTTCCAACTTTCCTTTTCCGTCCGTCCCAAAAAGAACTTCACTTTCCCTTTTTGGCAAAGAATTTGTGGTTAACAGCATTTCTCTCTCCTCTGCACAACTCTCCACCACACAATTCTCACTTTCTTAATCACCGTGCCACTTTAATTTGGAAGAACAATCAGGGACGGAGGCAGTAAAAGCAACATACTGCCCAAAAACATCACAACGAAACATTGATAGTGATAATAACGGCCCAGCCCAATATAAACAAAATTAAACAAAAAAAACTCATAGGCCCAGTTGCCGACAAACCAAAGCTATGGCCCAGAACTTATGAAGGATCGTAAATTACACTGAATGTATGATATGCATAGTACATTTTAGGGGTGGACACATGGGTGTAGCTAGGGGAGGGTCAGCCTTGGCCCAACCCAAATGTAAAAATGTCTATAACTTTAGTGTAAAAAATTTTCAAATATATTCTTCGTACTGGTCCAATCCGGCCCAGTGCCCTGGATCTGCCCCGGGTGGACATATTAATTTGGTTTAACCTAATTATACCAAAACGATGTAAATCGAACCAAAATTGGACCATATGCAATTCAGTATGAGTTTGATAGTATTTCTTCAAAATTGTATTAAACCAAACCAGAACTGATAAAAATAGAACAAAACCAAACGGAACTAAGTTAATTCAATAAAACCTTCATATATTATTAAAAGATCACAAACCCAAATCGAACCAAATCAAACAAAACTGAACCGAATAAAACCGAAAAATAGTATGGTTTTTGTTTTGTAATAATTCTTCTAACCCGTTCCAAATCGAACTGAACCGAAACCGGTAAAAACCGAACCGGAAAATGATATGCCCACCCCTAGTACATTTGAATTTATGATATTGGTATTGAAATAAGGATCATAATTTGACAAAGGTCATAAATAGATTAAATATTATCGTGTTCATATTTTAAAAATCAGTATGTTTTATTAATATCCAGGTATATTAATGATCCTAGTTATTAGGTATTGATGTACATATTAGGAGGAAAGGTGTCACACTATACCAACTTTTTAAGAAGTTGGAACTTGGAATTGCATCTTCTATTGTTGTCCTTGTACATAATTAAAAAAAATTGAAGATTCCTTTCATATATTACTATGAGGGTGTTTCCATATACTTCTTAAAATTGTTTCCGCTCTTTCAGAGAGCAGAAACATATATGACAATGTTTCTTTGAAAATGCAGAAGTACTTATGGGTGCTTCAAATTGCTCGTATAAGCAGTTTTTTATAAGTTGAGTGAGAACAGTTTCTGAAAAACTGATTTTGATCTTGTTTATGTTTTTACAAAAGAAGCAGAAGCAGAATTAATTTCAAACACCCTCTATATACTTATAAATGTTATGACAATATTGGCAAATGTGTATGATGGATCTAAATGTTAATTCACCTACATTATCAGCTATCAAGGTTAAGAAATGACGTATCAAGCATGGCCATACTCCTAGAGCATGGTTTCTATGACGCCTACGCCGGAGAAGCCAGGGACGGCACCCTAGCAGCAAAATTCTTCACCGGGGACACCATCTCCCTGCATACAATCTCCTTCTCAACATGTGACAATGAAGATGATACAAACATAATAATGTGCGATTTCTCCTATGCATGTTTGGCCATATTTAAAGACAGGTTCGATTATTCAACACATCTTAAGAGTTCTCATCACATGTGATATAAACATTAACAAGCTATGCTAAGTGGTTTTAGGAAATTTGAAATTCCTCAAGTAAGTTTAAAGCATATTTCTTCCATTCTATACTTCTAATTTAAGATTCTTTACGCACTTTGTGATGGTCAATCAAGTCAAGCAAACTTTATTGTACCCTCAATGTGATATAGCTTGTACCTGTGGAGCAATTAATCAATTAAAGTATTACAATTGAGGAATTTAAATGTAAACAAACGATTAAGTAGTCATCACTTGGACCAATGGAATGCATAGTAGGTATTATTTGAAAACGATTAAAACTTATTATTAAAAGCTAGCTTGCTTTTAAAAGTGTTAAAAATTGAGTGCTTAAATTGCATCAAAAAATTCAAATTGGGATAGAGGTAGTGATATATTTTCTCTAATTAACATGACCAACATTATTTTATTTTCAAAATAAGACTAATTCAATTCTACTTTATTAATATTTAACTAGATGAGTACTCTTTTTAAGTAAAAACAAGAATACTCCTATACTCATGTTTTATCCTATTTATGGAAACTTATTTATTAAAGTGTGGTTAATTACATAGGTTCATAAAAATGGGCGGCGCCAAAGCAGGGGCTTGCCTCAAGTCCGCTAGGTTATCCAAGGTTTGCGCGATGTTTGTTTGGAGGTCTTTGCAGAGCTGCTATTCTTACATCCTCAGTGACGATTATAGGACTAGTATTTTGCCTTACCTTGATGGGTTTTCGATCGACATTAAGTATGATATCTTCAGGGTTGTGTTTGTAAGTGATGATAATAGTAGTGCATTGAACACTCAATTTTTCCCACCTCGACGTTTGATGTTACATAGCAAATCAATGGATAAGGTTGTTCCAGATTCCAACAAGATTAGAGACTATGATGTATAAAGTGTATATAATGTTCTGTTGTGGTAATTAACCAACGGTCTGTGGCCACAACGCTTAACTTGTATGAGTTTTGCTAAGGATAAAAAAGTTCTAGAGATAGTGTGTGCGAGGACTTAGGAATGCAAGTCCTACCTAGGAAATGTTAGTTTAAACCATGATAATCTACATATATGAATCAACATGCACGCTTAAAATGGTTATTATATCATAATTATGTTTGTTTGACTTCATTGTTAATGTCTTGTGTGTGCTTAGAAACTCACCATTTGAACTGAAAATTTATAAGTTTGGTCTCATCTCATATTCATAAAAGTAAATCCGAATCGCTCTATTAATCTATTAGATTTTCACTGCTAGCTTTCACCACCATCCACAAGAAGTCGTTCTAATTAAATTGATTGATTGCGCGTACGTGCCATCAGGTTCTCAGTGCAGCTCTCTGGAGAACTTCACTAACTGGTCAAACACCATTAGATCCCAGCTAATTACCACATTGTCGCATGATACGAGACGAAGCATTGATTGCATAGTCACTCAAACGAACTCTAAGAGTTAAAGAACTATTTGAGAAAAGTCTCTCAAATTAGTCTCCTTACTCATCCATCATGAACTGGTGAGAGATCAATATATGCAATTAATTTCCATTTATTCCAATGTTAATTTATAAATTTTCAGTCATTCGTGGCTCACATAAGGACTCCAACATAAAAATCTGTTCATTAAAAGTTAATGCCTTAACTTTAATCAATTTAAAATAAAAATCATATAAGGAAATGAAAAATGGTCTTTTGAGTTCTTGACAAAAGTTTGCATTTTGTGTATTGACGGCTGCAAAGGATTGGGCTTACGATTTCACTTTTCATGTGGGCACGATAAGACTCACTTGCAATTTCTTTTAGAGATAACTCCTCAATAGGAGGAAAATATGCTAGAAATGCAAAAATAGGAGTGAACATTTAAAATGCCCTAAATAGCCTTGATGAAGCATATTGCCATATCCCCCACCCCACCCCACCCCCCCCCCGAGCGCAAACAAGACAGTCCAAAATAGCAGCCCAAATCATATACCCGGTAGGTCGAGACCCTGCACTGAGGCCGAAGTCTCATCGCCAACCCAGCTCCGCACTGACGGGACCGTTCCACGCATGGTCGTACTGTACTAGTGAGGCCAAATCTAGTGAATGCCATTGCGGATCCCACGCTGATGCTACCAGATGAGGCCGAGCATACCTGATCCATCTCGATTTGGTTATAGCTTCATAATTAGCCATTTCCTAGCAGAGCATTCTTGGTGCTTACATTTTTGGGGCTTACATCAATGTCGCCTTCACTGACGTCACAGACCCAAATTTCAAAAGAACTAACATTATCAGTGATTTTTTAGACATGTGAAATTTCCTTACTCGCTTAGGACTTTGGGTTTAAGGCCCAGGCCGCCCAACCTTGTATATTTGCCTATAAATAGTCACATTCCTCTTTTGGGGAGAGACCTATTGATAGGTATATTCCAACTCTTTTGGGGAGAGACCTATTGATAGGTACTCCCTCCGTCCCTTATAACTTTGCCAACTTTCCATTTTTGGATGTCCCAATAACTTTGCCACTTTCTCATTTAAGTAAAGAATTTGTGGTTCCAGTTAATTCTCTCTCCTCTGCACAAACCTCAACCACACAGTTTTTACTTTATTAATTCCCGTGTCGATCAAACTTGGCAAAGTTATTAGGGACGGAGGGAGTATATTCCAAACATTTGCACGTCAGACGCTTTTAGAACATGACATAGAAGTAGTATTTAGTTGTAATTGACATAATTCAAATGAATTATCCGTCCTTGAATTCAAACATTGTGTTTACATTCATATAACCACATACTACCTCCGTAACATTGGGATGTTCCCATTTGAAAAGTAGGTAGATTAAAAATAGTGAAAGGAGATATGTATTATTAGGGCTATGATGGGAAAATAGTGAAATAATGTGATGGAATGAAGGATAAATCCAAAAAAAGTAGGTGTAATAGTGTATTATTTTTAAAATTATTGAGGGTATGATAGGGAGATTTAGAAATGAGAAGATATTAGTGTTACGTCCAAAAAAGGAAAGTGGGAAGATATTTATGTTACGAAAACAAATTCATATTGGAATATACACATTTAATCTACATAATGGATTGAAATAAAATTATTTGACTCGTTAGATATAACATTATCATTTTGTATTGATGCGGAGTTTAAATCATCAATATTTCACCCCCATCTCATTTTAGTTAGCCATTGTTGATTTTTCTAGTGGATGATAAATTTTGACTGATCGTTTTAACATCTACTCTCTTTGTCCCTTAAAACTTGACCAAGTTTGACCGGCACGAGGATTAATAACGTAAAAATTGTGTGGTTGAGATGTGTGTAGAGGAGAGAGAATTAATTGGAATCTCAAATATTTTACTTAAAAGGGAAAATGTCAAAGTTAGTGGGACGACATAAGGAAAATTGACAAAGGTTTAAATGATTGAAAATTGAAAATTTTAAGTTTTATACGTGGGATGTTTTTACTTGGGTTGTTTTAAGTCCCAAACCAGACTTCTATATTTATAAAATACATAAAGACTAGATCAGTTTAGACCAGACCAATCCTAAACAGATCAGACCATCAAATTTCAATCCAAGTAAAAACATCCTTATATGACACTATTTTTACATAGAATATTTTCATATTACTTTCATATAATAAATATTTTGGTACATAAATATATAGTCAATCAAAGTCTAGCATGATTGAGATAGTCAAAGACATCTAACTAAAGACGGACTGTTCCAGTGTTACTTTTTATCTTTTTTCATATTATTTGCATGCATATTTTAATCTCAAAGCTTCCCCTTAAATTGTTGGCACACTAAGAATATTTTAATTGGACTATAATTTTGTAGCTCAACTTGGTTTGATCTGTTTGAGTTGCTGTCCGGTCTAGTCTAAAAGATGATAGTTCGGTCTGGTTTGATTTGGTTTAATACAGTCTGATCTGATATGTTTAATTTCGATTTGTTTTGATCTCATCGTGTGAGAAACTGAAATCGATCTAATTTAATACATTCTAAATGTGTAATTAAGCACAACTATTATAAACACTGCACTAATCACTATCAAGTATATTCATGGTTCCTTTCCTTTTGAGTCCAAGTTTTGAACCAAGAAGCGTATCGAATCATTTGCCCAAAGAATTGCCATTGCTGAGTTCACAGTCGAAGATGGGACAAAAAACTGGTCAAAGTGATGACTGGTCAAAGTTTACAAGACAGGAAAATAATGGCAGTCTCACCAATTAGGCCATGGACGACCAGACACGGAATCCACACCGCCATGTGAATGGGTCACACCTCATAATCATTTTTATTTTTGAAAGTGCCTAATTATAATTATAATTAGCTACCCAATGTGAAAAGAATGTTTTGGAATATTATACGCTTCCTGTTTTTGTGCATTTTCAAGCTCAGAAACCAAAAATAGTCTCCACATAACAGTTTTTGATAAGATTGAGGATTAACCACTAGGCTTGACTACTTTGTTGCACAGAATCAGGAATGGGAGAAACCACCTTAATAAGAATCCAATAAGTAAGTGAATTGAGGATTATCATATCATCTTCATAAGTAATTTCAATGTTCCAAAATGTGAAAAATAACATTTTCCACACCGGTTACAGGTAATATATGAACTACTAAAATACCACTTCCTCCGTCCCAATATAATATTCTAAACGACATTTTGCGCGTGTATTAAGATAGTCTAAATTGTGCGATGGAGAGCTCTAAAAGTGTACCTTTTGTTGTGTGCAAAAAAATCTTCAATGCTATGTAAAAGGGAAGAGTATATTATTTTGGGACATATGGAAAGTTAGAAAATTAATATGAGACGAATGGAGTATATTAAGATATTAGGTTATTTCTTTTATCATGTTAATCTCTTAGGATGTAAACTCAATTCTTAACACTTCTATCCTAAAACTTTTAGGCTAAAAGGTTGACATAATATGAGAATGTATACTCCGTTTGTCCCAATATTATCTTCAAACTTTAATTTTTCGTTTATCCCAAAATTATCTCATCTTTATGGCATTTCTTTACATATCCTTACACATTTATCTCTCTTCTATACAATTTTTTACCACACAATACACACTATCTTAATCTTCGTGTCATTTGTACGTCAGGAGATAAATTAGGGGTGGGGGAATACAATTCAATCCATCAAACCAAACTCTAAAACCAAAACTCGGAAAGTAACAATTCCTTGAACTTTTGGCATCTTGAAATTCAAATGGCATGTCGAATTGGTAGCATAGGAAATGGGCATGTCTTGTGGGTAGAGGTAGAGAGGAGGTATGGGAGAGGTCATATTATAGGATTCAGAACCTCCAGTACGTCTATTACTTTAATTTCATGGTTTCACTGACACTATGGCTTTTTACATTTCTACGAAGGCATTGGTACCAGTGAATACAAAGGTACATAGTTCTCTGTATAATTATTGGACGTCATTGATTAGAGTATCTTTGACATCACATTTTTTATCCATAGAATCCAAATAAAATAAACAAAAGCTACTAGAAGTGAAATCTGGTCTGGTCTGGTCTTTTTAAATCTGTTCTAGTCTGTTATATTTAAGTCTGATCTCCTTCGAGTCTGGTTTGAGAGATGACAGTTATCAATTTTCGTTTTGTCAGTTGTCTCATATTCTGAACTTTTATTGTTTATTTATATAAGCCGATTTCCTTCAAAAAAAAACAATACAGAGTATAACGTAGCAGTAATAACGAATTAGTGAAAGTCTTTTTTCCCCTTAAAGTATAAAAAATAAATAAATAAGTAAATAAATAAATAAAAAATAAAAGAACGGCTTTTCATATTAATATTAAAAAATCATACACGACAATCTTCATGCAATTATGATGAAGCCGATCGTAAGCTTTAGAAATAGACATAGAATCAGTCATCTATTACAAAATAACCTGATCCGCTAGACATGAAACGAGCAAATTTAAGTTTAAAACAATCGGAACTGAAATACTACCCATCAAAAAAATTCCAAGAATCTAAATCTTCAAATCAAACCTAATCTTATTAAAATAGAAATAAGAGGAAAAATAAATCTTTTCCTCAAAACTCAAAAGAAGATAAGACTAACAAAACCTGACCAGACGAAGTTGATTGTGCCACCAAAACAACTC